TGAAGAAGGAGCGGATAGCTGCGCGAAAAGCCGCCAGGAAGAACAAAGGTGGTACTCTAGCAGTTTGATGTGTCACCGTCTCTCGCCTGGCTGGCGTCGTGTCATATATCCTTCTCTGCTTTTTATATATTACTATGTATCTATCTGCCATAGCTTCTGTCTCCCATGTTAAGGAAACAAGTGTCAGTATATATCAAGCTCCAAATCGCGCGTCACGCCATTTGCCACACTCGTGTCCATTTTATTCTTAGTATTTTCTTCATGTTAATCAAAAACTTATTCCTTATCCATCTTTCCAGGTAATTCTACGTCCAAAGACGAGCCGTCCGGAGACACGAATGGTACTGCCAAAGCGGATGGTAAGTCATCGTCGGAACAATCTGATGCTGACGTGGAGGACAACCTGGAAGACATGCCTCGTCAGCCCGACACACACACCGTGTCTGTGGGCACGCAGGCCATCGCACACACCGCCGCCAACTTTGCTGCCTACCACATGGAGTCAGGGTACAACTCGGAGAAAGTTATCAGCTCTGACTCCATCCGCACCAGCCCTGTCGACATGGACAAGGAGAAGACAGACAACACTCCCGAGCATACCGACAAGGACAAGGTCGAGTTCGCCGACCATTCCACCTCGACTACCGCGATCCCTCTCGAATATAAACCTCTGATATCACTAGAGAACCTCTCTAACCCCGACTCAGGCGTCGCCAGCCCGGAGGCTACCAAACATAACTCGACAGAAACTGTCGACAACGTCGACTCACCCACTAACGGCAAGGAGCTCGGCAGTCATAGTTCGCTCTCCAGCGAAATTAACCTGGACTTGTCAAGTCCGCAACACAACAAACTATCCCCTGTGAAAACAGAGTTCGAGAGGCCGGTGTCACGAATATCGTTCGTGCCCGAGTACTCCAACGAGGTGGTGTCCCGGGGCATCAGCGTACAGGGCTGTCGCAGCGTGCTCGAGCATAGCGGGGAGAGCAGCTACGAGTCCCTGCCAGAGAGCAAAACGTTTAATGACCTGAACAACCACTTGGACAAACTGAACTTGTACAATATTGAGGATTCTAAGAACAAAAAACCCGCGTTACCGTCACCTGTCGCAGTCGAGGCCCCCGTGGAGCCTCCCCCGCCCGCGCCCAAACCCAAAGTGAACAACATTGAAGCCGAGAAGAATCAAAGAGACTTCCTGCCTTACTCACGGCAGAGTCCGCTATCGCCGCGCTATGTGTGCGACGAAGATGAATGTAGCATTCAGTCGTGTCTGAGCCAGTTCACCGCGCTGGAACTGCTGACGGGGAACAACAAGGTCGGCTGCGAGACCTGCACCGAGCGGATCAACGGCAAGGATGGCAAGACCGTGTACACCAACGCTACCAAGCGGTTCTTGGTGTCGAGTCCGCCCGCCATACTGATCCTGCACCTGAAGCGGTTCCAGATCGGGCCGCGCTGCATGTTCCGGAAGATGTCGAAGCACGTGGACTTCCCCATCGTGCTGGACCTGGCGCCGTTCTGCGCCATGGACAAGGTGCGCAAGCTACCCAACGTGGCGCGCAACCAGTCCGAGCTGCTGTACTCGCTGTACGGCGTGGTGGAGCACTCGGGCGGCATGCACGGCGGGCACTACGTGGCCTACGTCAAGGTCCGCGGCCGCGTGCGCGCCGGGGACCCGCGCTGGTGGTTCCTGCCCAAGGGCGCCAACAGCGCGCCCGCGCAGGCCGCCGGCGACGCCGACCGCGACTCCGACTCCGAGCTGTCGGGCTACGAGTCGGGCGAGGGCGGCGCCTCGGCCGCGGACCCGCCGCCCGGCAAGTGGTACTACGTGTCCGACAGTATGGTGTCCGAGGTCAGCGAGGAGAAGGTGCTGAGGGCGCAGGCCTACCTGCTGTTCTACGAGAGGATCGTATAAGCGCCGCGGCACTCTCCACGGCCTAAACTTGTGGATTGGCATTTAAGTGGAAGACTGGTAGGATCGGTTTTATCGTAGGCAAGTTGCATGTTGTTACGTTACTGAAGGCGCTGTACATAGCTTCGGAAGTTATTATTTACTGGCTTTTTCGTTTAAACTACGTTTGGTGCGCGCTAGCCGTCGCGGCCATGTGATTATTTTATTAATGAATTGTTTATGTATATACGTCGCGTAGCGCTGGCTGTGATGGCCCGGTCTGCTAGCGGTTAAACTACTCGTCACTGTGGGTGCTACATCACAGTACATACCCGACTGGTGTTATTACAACTGTACAGAATGAGTGTCACAACCATCGCTACAGACACACGCTAAGCTTGTTACTGTTAGTTTTATATAACGAACTTGAAGAATACTATTAGTCACAATGTTCACTGCGTCTGTATAAATTATGTGTCAGTGGTATTTGTTTACATTGCGGTATATCTATGTTGCAAGTTGAATTGACTTTTTTGGGAATATTATTGCTTAACGTATCTTGCACGTGGATATATTATTATATTATATTCGCTGCGGTAGACTAACGACGTAAGTGCTGAAACAGGAATTGACGGGGAACACAAACAATACACTTACGACGTTATTCGCCGGAGTCGCGAGTAGTGTTTATACCAATCAATGTAATTGATACAATTATGTTACATTGATACATAACGAATACATATTTAAACTCATCTCATTAAGATTAAATGTTTCACCCGATGTACGTAATTGGACGATTGTTTTCAAGTTTTGTATTTATTCGTGTATTTATGTTTGTACTATGTAATCGTGTTTTTGCTGAAAGTTGTTAGGTAACGACGGTAGCGGGCGCTCCCAGCCTGGCTATGGGTAGTCTTCCATTGAGGTGTCCAGAGAAATGTAAACATACATTGCAACTCATATAAAACGCGTCCCTAAGCATCGGCTGCCGCTTTTAACGAAGTAGATAAGTTATTTATTATCTGTTAACGATTACGTCAATTTTACGACTATATCAGATGTAGTTTTAAAGTGATTTTCTTTTTCAATGAAATTCATAAATATAGATAATCTCATAAGATGTATAGTTAATGTTTTATCTTGATTACATTATTGATATTATCCAAGCAATCATTTTACTCGATTTTAATGTACTGTACTGAGAATCGGTCGGTGGTTCGTTGTCCTGGAGTGTACCAAGCGTTTTGTATATAGTGGGATAAACATTAGCAATCTTAGATCTCCGTGTGATCTCGCGCTTGTTGGAATATTCTAACCTCTATTTATTGTATTAACTTGGTGCCATTTTGTGAAATGGTAACGTTACCCCAACATGGTCGCGTCGCATACAATCTGGATAATGTTATGAATATTGCTGCTATTTTCACTTAGTTAAGTGATAATTGAACTGTCAATAAATGAGTTGAATCATTTGATTAATGGGAGTTAACAATAATGTTATTTTATTCATGTCATCCTTTCATCATTTTTTGTAGATTGTACATACACTTTTTATAAAAGGTTAGGCTACCTTCGCGGTAATGGGGTCGTAAGACTAGTCTGTTCCCGAACACCCTATTTTATTTTTAATCGCATATTAAGTTTTAATACAAGCATTATGTAACATTGAGTGCTCAATTTAGTTGTTGCTTTTATTGTGTGCAACTAATTATGTTTTAAGAACTTGTCACACTCTCATTAATGAGTACATTTGAGATGAAAATGCTAGATTTTATACGCAGTTGCTAATGAAATTATGCAACATTATTTAAATTCGACAGTTGGTTGTTTCGGTGTAGTCATTAACTAATAAAATCCTGTGGGAATCTAAAGATTTTTCCCGTATTTAAATTAAAATTTCAAACTCCTATTTATTTGTATTCTTTCTTTTATTCATTGAGGATTTTATGTAATCTCCGTACAGTCTGTATTTGGATATGTCGAAAAAATATTGACTAATTAAAAATTAAAAACCAAAGAAAAGGTTTCCAAGTAGTGGTCTATGTATGATTACTAATGTAAAATTAAATAGGAATTAATTATAGCCTACCTAAGGTAAAGCTATACCAGTCTAAATTATACTTATTGATTCTAAAAATCTCATTTATTGCAAATAAAAACCTTACTTTTGAAGTAGGGTTGCCAGCAATAATAAATTTCTAGTGTTTCCATTTCAAATGTTAGTTTTGCAAGTAGTGTTGCAAGTTACAGATGATTTTATGATTGCATTTGACGTCATTATGTTAGTCTTCTACCGTTAGATAGCTTGTGTTAATTATTTGATATTTTTTGTATAATATTGAATTCACAATAACTGAGTTACGAAAAGTGTATTAAAATATAGTTGTAAAATGTCTTTGGATTTTTATTGTATTGTTTTTTTTATTTATTTATATCTCTTATCCCTTTCTCTAAATATGGATCTTTGAGAAATTAAACAAATCAAAGACAAGATCGACCTCCGTGTGAGAAGATATGCCTTTTCTTTCTTTCTTTCTTTCTTTCAATGCGGTGGTTGGTTTACGGGTGGCTGACCGACGAGTTGCGGGTTTGATTCCCGCTCAAATCTACTCTGTCTGATCCGAGACTGGGCGTGCGCACAGCGCGTCGCGTTTGACACACGTGTCAAAGAAATCCATTCAAACCACAGATGAGGTCCACTTGGGGTTGGGCTCAGTAAGAGTCCGACACATCCACTCGCTTCAACCAGGGCGGAAATTAGAACCCATTTGATGATTTTAAAAATAAAAAGTGTGTGTTTGTAAACGCACCAACAACAGCAGAACAAACCAGTGCGGGGCAAAATTTCAAAATTATCTGCATAGTAGTGAACTTTTAACTCTGTAGCTATCAACAACTAAGAGAAATAATCGTTTTCCACCATTGAGTTAATTAGTAATTTACTTTTACATGGTAAACTTACTAAATAAACTTGTGCATTTTAGTGAAAAAATGTTTCTTTATCTAACGCATTTTTAAAATTTCGATAAAGTAGAGTACGGAATTAACTACAATCACAAGCAAATATAATAAAACTATACATTATAAAAAAATAAATAAAATCTTTATTATTTACATTCTACTTACAAAAGTACTCATAAACTGGAATAGATATATAAAAATCAATTCATATTTCTCCTGTTCAGCTGGTCGATGTGGGAGGCATTGAAAGGTATGAGTTTTGTTATTCTAGGCACTTCCAGTAATGTTAGTTCTATGATACAATATAGAACTTGTAGGGTATCCTTTGCTTTTTGTAATCCCTGGAAAATAGAAAAAAAGTGGTAAAACAATGAATAAACACAGAAGATAACAGGAAAATTTGCCAACATGTATTGAGCCTTTTTGTGTGTCTCCTTCAAATTCTATTAACACTACGATTTTCACAATGAAAGCTTGGATGCCGCCTACATTTTCGGACGGACGTTAATGCTTGCCACACGACGACGCGGCGTTAAGGTCGCGCCAGCGCGGCGTCGACGCCGCGCAAACAACGTTAGCGTTATCAACACTAGTAATAGGCCTAGTGGGATAGCGGCCTGACGTTGAACTCGGCGGGCGTTTAAATTTTCATCGGTGTCCTTAAGCGACGCGGATTGCTTACCATAAGGTCAGACTGTTCGTTTGACGCCATGTGCATGAAAAATCTATAACAATCTTCAGGTCAACAAAATGCATGCACATTCTAATATTGGGAACAATTCAACCAGGACACTTACCGAAATGGTTTTCTCTTTCAAATCAGGCCTTGTAGCAAACAGCTTTTTGTTAGCACTCATTTCTTGAGGAGTATAACCGACTAATTTAGAGAGCACATCACTTGTAAACTCAACATCTAGAGTCCCTGTACCATCGACAATTGTACACTTTAAACTCCAGCCATCCTTACCCACAGATAGCTTAGACAGCAAACTCATTATTTGCCCCTTAACCCTAAAAACTTTCCCAGTTCTATCACTTTCAGCCATATCTTTAATCTGCTTAATATAGACAAAAGGTTCAGCTGACACGGAATTGCCGCCCTTATCCTGTGACTGTATAACTTCATTATCGCTTGCATCTATCTGAGCTTCCAGTTCCCTCAAATAGTCCTCATCTTCCCCCATAAATAAATCATTATCATCTGGATAGTCGAAGGATTGGTTTACTTGGTCAGTTTTTAATTTCTTTCCTGGAATCGGTGTGTTAGGTTCCAATGGTCTTTTTGCAGGTATGTCTACTAACTGTTCTTCTAAAGCAGCTAATTGGTCTACGTCTATTTCATCATCTGCGAAGTTAGGTTCGTCCATGTTTGGATGTTGGTCAAATGTTGGCGGTTGTTGGTATGGCGCCGGCATTTCTGTGTGTGGTGTTGGTATGTTTGTGTTTCGTGCTATGTTCATTGTTGTGTTGAGGTTTGATTCTGAAATGAAAATACACACAAGTTTTTAGTGGTTCTCTACTAATTTAAGTAATTTATCCGTTGAATAATTGTACCGCAAGCAGGCTTTGCTCGGTGGACCGACGACATCGCCAGAGTAGCAAGGAGTCAGGTGGCGAGTTGTTGTTTGACGTGGAAGATTAAGGGGAGGCCTTTGTTCATCAGTGGACGTCTTGCGGCTGATCATGATGACGATGATGATGAATCTTAAAATTACAAGATTCGTTGAATTAATCTTGTAATTGTAAAATTCAACAATTGGCACTAGAAAGATGAATGTCTTATAATTTAAGCATCATTATCAGCTACAAGCTAAAAGACATCCACTTTTGGACAGATTTCCTCTATGCCTCCTAGATTTGCTTAAAGAAAACCCTGTCTATCAAGTTGTGAATAAGATAATATCATGTAGGTAATAATATCATTTGTTTTGAAGGGTTGAAAATTTATCAACTTCATTCTCTCGCCCAGGGTTGGCTGAAATTCACCGTTCACTCTCTTACTCCAGGGTGGGACCATTAATATTTGGCACAACTCCGGGAAATGAGAACTCAGCCCCAAACAACGCAATTCAAGGCCAAGTTCAGTAACAACACTCCTAATGGAATCACACTAACTGCCATACTCAGACACATTTATCGATTACTCAAACTATTCCTTACTTCCCCTATTTCCTTAACTTTGTTCCTAAAACAGTTACTACCTAAGGAATTGGTGTACTGACCATTAAATGACTGAGAATGATGGTTATTTTTTGTAAGGGGAAAATCATCAAATTATTTCTCCCGCCCAGGACCGGGCGGGAGGGAGTGTCAGACTCTAACTGACTAAAAACCTTGTTCCTTCTCGTGCTCTGGGCCGAGGTCGCGGTGCCTCATTGCGCTTACCCCGCAACATGGTAATATCTTATTTATAAAGCCATTGTATTCTCACCTGGTGCAATGGGTAATCCTAACTTGGCAGACAGTTGTCCTGCCAGAGAGTTGGATATTACAATTTCTTGTACCTCTCCACCTAGCAGCTCTATGGCACTCTCTGTGAGTAACAGCTGTCCTCTCCGACATTCCACTGGACCTGAAATGAAAAAAATAATATTTAACTTACTGCTTGGTGTAGACCTAGAAACGAATGACCTAGGCTCTGATACCTGATGCAGCAAGATGATGAGCAATGAACTCGAACTTCAGAGATTTAGGGAATTGAGAAGGATTGGGCCTCCGGTGACATAACTTAAACGGCGAAACACAACGCTGTGGTTTCTAATAGGTATCCTGTGTGGTATCACTCCGGTCGAGCCGACTCATCCATGCAGACTGTCCATGCATGCATGCATGACTGTCCCACACAAAATGTAACTGTTTATGTAAGAAAGTCTTTACATATGAACTTTGTTGTATGTAACCCTGATTTTGCGTCCACCCGGGATTCGAACCAGACATCTAGTACGGTTTGCGTTGCTATCGATTAAGTCGAGAGAGGTAGAAGAAAGATAGAACGAGTAATAACTCAGCGCGTGGGTCATAAAAGAGCGTGCCAGTCATAAAAGAGCGTGCGAGTCATAAAAGAGCGTGCGAGTCATAAAAGAGCGTGCGGGTCATAAAAGAGCCTGCGAGTCATAGAAAAGCGTGCGAGTCATTGCGGAGCGTGGGAGTCATAATAGCCGGCGTAAAGTCAAGTTGGTATGCATAGAAAAGCGTGCGAGTCATTGCGGAGCGTGGGAGTCATAATAGCCGGCGTAAAGTCAAGTTGGTATGCATAGAAAAGCGTGCGAGTCATTGCGGAGCGTGGGAGTCATAATAGCCGGCGTAAAGTCAAGTTGGTATGCATTTGCCCGCAATGCTGCTCATATGAGCATGGCCTGTAACTAGTCGAACATCTCGTCAAAAATTTGACAAAAAAACAGTGAATTTCAGTATAAATAATAAAATACTATTCAAGAACAATTTTTTCTTCTTTTTTGATAATGAACAACATGGAGTGAATGGAATTATTTTCTTACCTTTTATAAGTACTTTACAACCAGGAGTGATGTCACAGCTTAGATTCCTCATTGGCTTGTATTCTAAAGCTGTTATTTCTTGGACACCATCTGTCATATACAATTTCAGCATCCTGGAACATTTATTTGTGTTAAAATATAATTGGATATCAATTTTTTCTTGAATAAATATGAAAAATGTGCGCCTAATGATCAATAAAACACATTTTTTTTTGATAGGTCAGCAAAAGAGCTCATGATTCAATCAGCGCCGCCAATGGACACTCACTACAAAAGTGAAAAGTGCGAAACACAGCCCAAGCGTTATTTCACGCCGATGTTCTGTGAGGCCGTGGTATCACTCCAGTCGAGCTATTTGTTTACAACTAGTAATTCAGCAATGCAGTCAATTTATGTTGCCAATAAATCAATGATATTTATTTTCGTATTTATTATTTATTTAATTTAGAATATAATGATTTATATGCAGTAATACAAATGAGAGAGTACCTATGACTGGAAATTTTGTCTTCATAGTTAGTGGTTGCCTCTACATTCTCCATGTTGACCTTTTGCAGCTTCAAGTATTGCTGATAAGCTGGTGTACCTAGAAATGGTACAGTCATACATTATACATAAATATTTAAGTACATATAATATTATACAGCGAAAATATTATGGGTAAAGAAAATAATTCTATCTAATGTTGTGTTTCCTAAAAATCACTACTGCTATTAATATTACCTTGTGTAAACCTTTTTAATATTATGGTGGAAAAAAAATTAAGTATGTGGACTTTTTTAAGGGGACGAAATCATGAAATTGCTTCTCCCGTCCTGGCTGGGGTGGGATTGAGAGTCAAGACTCTTACAGATAAAAAATACATATACACTCTGCCTTCCTTTAGATTTCAGCTGTAATGTGGGCCAGAACAGCTGAAATCTAAAGGAAGGCAGTAATTATATTAAATTACTGAACTTCAAAAAATACATTACCTATATCCATCACAGCATTGATTTGCAGGACAAATTTTCCATTGAGCACAGTCCTCATCTGTCCCTTGAGCTCCGCTGGCAGAGACCCGGGGCATATCTCCTTCAGATCATTTAACAACCATTGCTCCTTAGCTAACTTCTTAATATCATCCTCGCTGTAACTGTTCTCTGTGTCTTCTGATAGATATTCTACACACCTAGTTCGTATTATGACAAAATTTATAGGTAAGTAAGAAATAAACAAACATAAAATATTAAAGCTTGACTGTTTACTTTAGCCAAACCATCAGCAGGCTGTTAAAACCTTCCAAATTGTGTAATTAAAGATCATTATTAAGATTGATTATGTTTCTACTTATAAACTCTACAATGAGTAATTATAATATAAACTTGCCCTGCGAGCCAGTCGTCGACAACGAACATATGTTGGGACGCCAGATATTGGCGCACTGCATTCATGAGTGAAGACATGGTGACACACTTTATTATCCAACCTGAACTTCCACATATCAATAACTGCTACTGCCGGCTTACATCCAGCAGCTACCAAACCATTCTATTCATTTATAAGTGACCAAAATCCTCGTTTACCCTATTCACTATTAACCATACGCTAAAGAAGGGATTTTATTGGTGTTATTTCCTTAAACCCAGAAAAATGTCTGTAATAATAGTTCTCTTTCGCCTTTCCCACTATTTACAAACAAAACGACTGAAAATACTGAAATGTCAATGTGCAACATGACAATTTGACAAGTGACATCACTGAACCAAATTTGACACAATGCTGATGACAGTTCCGTAAACAGATAAGAATTTCCGCAAACAGATTAAATAGCATTCAAATTATATCAAGGCCATTCGATTGTTGACGTGAAAAATCAAAATTATTGATACGCAGCATAATATGTAAGGACAGAAACAGCATAACGCTTATTTTACTGGTTTCATTTACTAGCCGAAACTAATAATATATTAGATTAATCGTTTCATAAACAGGATAATTAATTTTCCGGTGTTGCTTGCCTGTAACATAACTACTATTATGGTAGAATACTTCACCACAGCATAGCGTGTCATGTCATGTCATGTCGTCCCAGTTTTATACGTTTGAAAAGTCCGGGACACGACCCACAACGCAAGTGTTTCCCTAACCAAAGTAAAATATGTAAAATTGAGGCTATAAATTTGAATAAAATATTTAAAATGGTTTCCTGTCAATATGAATTTGAATCTCAACTTAGCAAACAAGTTGACTACAAGTACTTTGCCAGGCTTTTGCGGATTAGTTCGTCGTTTTTCCCGTAAATAAGATTGCCGGAGGTAATCTAACATAATGCAAGCGTTGTTTCACGCCAATATACTGCGAGGCCGTAGTAAAACTCTGATCAAGCCACCCCATTTATGAACATAATTAGCTCTCCTACACTTAATTTTATATCATTAATGATGTACTAATGTTGACTTACACAATATTATTTAGGTAATTATCAATTTCTAATAAGTTTATAAATATGATAAGGATTGGGAAAACAATTACTACTCTTTTCGTTCTCAACGCGCGTAGCTGAATAATAGTGCATTAAAATTTATTTATTTTTTTCAACTGTCTTTTAATACGACTTTATTCGTAAAGCTCAATTTTACTGTAAATAGTAGTATTTTACCATTAGTTTGGCAACATTTAGTGTGCGAGTGAACGCAAAAAAAAGCTTGCCGATATTTCATCCATCTCCCTCGTAAATTTTGGACATAGGCTGATTGACAACAAAAGGCACTATTTTGAGGATCATTGTTGTTTTAAATGTTTCCTTGTAAATAAGTGTTGTGAAACGAGCGCCTGTATTCGTGATTTACATAGTGGATGAAAAAATATGAAGCGGCGAAATGCCGAAACTGGGAAGTTGCGGCGCCCCTTGAAGCGCACAAAAATCACCGAAGGAATGTACGGAAAGTGAGTGGATAATGTTTATGTTGATCGTTACATATCAGGAAATAGTTCTTTGTATCACGCGGTATCTAATTCTGTGATAAAGTTAACATAAATATTGCAGAATAATCTTGTATGTGGGTAGAAAGTACCATCTGGCGATCAAAGCCCACCTTCTGAGTGGTGCGACAACAAAAAGAATTGAATATACACGTTTTTTGTTATAAAATGCATGCGAATGTGCAACATGTGTAGACTGCATGTCACCACTGTTGCGTTGGTCGTGCTGATCGAGGGGCCTGACGAAATACGATGTGGATACCACATTAAAAATATACAATTTGAGCATATGTAAACATAGCCAAGTAGACTCGTCTATTTTGATTCCAACTTGCATGAATACCTACTAAAATTGAGTTGATAATATTACACATAGTTAGATAAACATTAATATATTTTTAATGAAATAACTCATTTATCAGGTAATTTAATTAGAAAAGTCATTTAATTCCTGTTAGTTATGAATGACTTATTCTGGTCATGCCATGCAGATGCAACAACTATAAACATTGATGTCATGACAGTTAAAATCAATAATAATAACAAATAATTTATCAGGAAACATTTAAAAAAATAAGTGCATTTCATTTCCTATACAGATTTTGATAGCAAATCTAACTTATCTAACTTAAATTTTAGTCAGAGATAAGTCAAAAATATGTATTGTTATGTACCACTACAACAGATTAAATGCTTACAAAGTCACTTTATAGCTTTTAACACAATAAAAATAATTCTTAAGAGATCCAAATGATTTTTTATTTGTTATTTTTGCCTTTATTGTTGTGTCAAAGCTTTGTTATTAAGTTCCTTCATTCCAAAACTTTAATATTTTATTTATAAGGATAATTAATTCAATAAATCTATCCCTGTATCAACTTCTCTATCCTTGAGGATAAAATTAAGTAAATTAAAATTTGTATTGTCATTGTGTAATTAAGAAATAATTATTATTTACTCTGGTTATTGGTTGTCTGGGTTCCCAGGATAAAGAAGTAGTATAATGTGGTATTCAGACTGTTATTCATTCAGAGTTTTGTTCAGATCAATAGTAAAGTTTTTTTTGAAAGAGTATTAATAACCCATTTTCATTTAAATGTAGCTTATACAGGCTTCGCTGCATGGTATGTTAAAAAAACAGCCTATAATAATGTTAATCCTGGTTATCACATCTACACACCAGATCAGTCCAACCGTTTTTGAGTGAAAGAATAACAAACTTACATACATACAATTTGACAAACTATCATATTTATAATAGTAGTAGAAATTAGTAGGATATTTAATATTAAATGAAAACATTAATGGAACATCTTTATTTAAATTGCAACTCTAATTAGCTTGTATTAAAGTTTATTTTCTTTTACAATACATTTGAAAATTAATTATGTTTCAGTTCAATGCTGTACCTGAAGTTTGTGATGATTTGGGCAACAGTTGTAATGGCTGACTATATGCTGGAGTTCAGATTTGAATTCCTCTGGCCCTTCTGGATGATGCTGAGATCAGTCTATGATTCATTCAAATATCAAGGACTGGTAAGTTCTGTTTCAAATACTTATTATTTTATATTTAAGTACATGTATTAATGACATATAAAACAAAACAAATACTAAATGATAGTTATCAAGTGTGGGAGAGCCATGCTTCGGCACGAATGGGTCGACTCGACCGGAGTGATACCACGGCCTCACAGAAGACCGGCGTGAAACAACCACAGCGTTGTGTTTCGCCGTGTGAGTGAGGTTACCGGAGGCCCAATCCTTCCCCGCCCCCAATCCCTCCTCAATCCCTAAATCCCCAAATCCCTAATCCCTAAAAGGTCGGCAACGCACTCGTAACTCCTCCGTTCCGGGTGTCCATGGGCGGCGCTGATTGCTTACGATCAGGTAATCCGTCTGCTCATTTGCCGACCAATTACATAAAAAAAGTTATTCTATGCCTATGAGGTTCAGAAATAACATTATAACTTATTTCTTGATAAATTATAATTAATAATTACTTTTTAAGATTAATTTTTAAATATATGTATATTCAAAAATAGAAATGTCCAAAACATACCTACCAACATATACAGGTAAATATTTAATTTATTAATTATAATTAATTGTTTTTCATTAAAGATATTATGCATTTATAAATATGTGTGACAAAAAGTGTCCCTTATCATAAGGGTCAGTGTTATTGAAAAGCTGAAAATCTGGAATCAAACCAATAATCTATAAACAGTTTGTCTATTTTTGTTTGTTTGTTTGTCCTGGCTGGTATTGAGGGCACATACCACATATCAATATACCAGAACCCAATTCAAAGCAGAAGAAGGAATGAGTTGGATTAAAAAAAAGAGTTACTTGCCCCATCCAGGGTATAAAAAGTTATTAAATGATTTCCCTCTTAAAAAACGGTCTCTTTTGTGACCAGTTACCCCTTGTCTGCCGGAATGTAGATCTATGAGGCACAATGTATTTTCATATACCAGCAGAAGAGAGATGCCTAAAAAGTTATTATCTTGTTGCTCACTTGATATAGTTTAACCCATTGAATGTCGGTTTATAAGACACAATAGAAAATATATTGTGTCTCGCGTAGATTCACGTTTAAGACATACGAAAGGTTAAACTTAATATTATTAGTTGATACCTTAGTTATTAAAGTCATTAACTAATATGTACAGAATATTATAACTCTAGTTTGCTACGGAAACTGAATACTGTGAAAAGAGAAAGTTTTCTGCCATTGTTTTAATGTGGCACAATATTTATTATCTCTCAGGACTTAAATATTTATTACATTTAGTTCTAATTCTCATGTTCCACTTAAATTTTTATAACTGTTATTAATAATGAAACATACTATAGGTGTCATAAAAATAAACCTACCTAGAAAATAAAATGAAGTCAAAATATTGCAAATGGTTTTGATTTGATTGACTAGTGGTCCTAAGCGCGACAGGTAGTCGCGAGGTATCGGGTTCCCTCGAGTTAGTACAACGCACGGAATGGCGCGATGTCGCCATTTTTTAATTGTATTTCGTCATGTTTAGACCAGTTTTGTCACGATTCCAATGTTATTTATTAGCAATGAGTTTTGGGTGGGGGCCGTGGGGGTATCCACAAATTATCTCTCAAGACTTGAGTGAAGTAAGAGGGAATGTCAGACTATTATTGACTAAAAAACCACCCGTTCCTTCTCCTGCTTCGAGCTGGGTACGTTATTGCTCTTGCAAGTGTGGAAGAGCCGAGCTTCGGCACGAATGATTCGGATCGACCGGAGTGATACCACGGCCTCACTGCAAACTGGCGTGAAAGAACCACAGCGTTGTATTTCGCCGTGTGAGTGAGGTTACTGGAAGCCCCAATCTGCCCCTACCCCAATCTCTAAATCACCAAATCTCTAATCTCCAAAATGTCAGCAACGCAATTGTAACTCCTCATTTGTTGCCGGTGTCCATGAACGGCGCCAATTGCTTGCCATCAGGTTATCGATCTCCTTGTTTGCCGTCCTATCACATAAAAAAAGACTCCCATGTTATTAGCAATGAGTTTTGGTGGGGGAATCAACAAATGACCACACACATGAGTGGAGTGAGAGGGAGTGTCAGACTTCTTATTGATTAAAAAACTTTCTAGCTTTGAGCCGGGTGTGTTGCACCCTCAACCCTGACTGGATGAGGGATGATCAGAATAAGTTATGCAAAAATTTTACAATGATCTGTATTTTAATGATTTTTTTTTTGTTTTGTTCCAGGCATTCTCTGTATTCTTCATCTGCATAGCACTCACATCAGACATGATATGTTTCTTCTTCATACCCTTACAGTATATATTCTTTGCTGCCAGCACCTATGTGTGGGTACAATATGTCTGGTACACATGTGAGTATACATTTCTTTAATATTTTACTTTTAATATACATGTTTCATTATTTAAATGTAGAACAACTATTTGTTGACCTTGTGAAGGTTTGTTTATAGTAAAAATCTAACTACAACAACTCAATACGGTTGTGGACCTGGTAATCTGTGTGACTGGGTTTCCTAATTCTAGTACCAGTCCCACAAAAAGGCTAAGTCTAACAAATTATTGATTTGCGTTCAAAACTTTGCCCCACACTTGGAATTTCTCCTGTGTCGTGAATTTACAAACATACAATTTAACATACGCACCACACCCAAACCCGAAACAACAATTTGTGGATCACACAAAGTGTTGTTCCGTGCGGGAATCGAACCCGCGACACGTTGCACAGCAGCCAGTTGCCCAGCCACTATGCCAACCGTGCAGTCCAATCAAAATATATTTGATTATTTAAATGTAGAACAACTATTTATTGACCTTGCGAAGGTTTGTTTAAATAGTAAAAATCCAATACTTAACACGGTTGGGTCCTGGTAATCTGTGTGACTGGGACAGTCTGGGGCACTAGGAAATAGTGCAGATACCAGACTCCCGCAAAAAGGCTGAGTCTAACAAATAATTATTTATTAAGTGTTCATACTCATTATTACGTATATAGTGCGTTCCACAAATAGCTGTAAGATCCTTTGCAGGAGATAAATAAATCAATATAATTAATTTCTCATTCTCATTGCTCATCTTTTAAAACATAGCCCCACACTTAGAATTTCTCCTGTGTCGTGGGTGCGTTTACAAACATACAATTTAACATACACACCACACCCGGAACAACAATTGGTCGATCACACAAAGAGTTGTTCCGTGCGGGAATCGAACCCGCGGCAGCCAGTTGCCCAGCCAACGCCAACCGTGCTGTCTTAGATATTTACAACACGTCAGAGAAGGTTTCTCTGACACTGCATTATTGAGATCAGAATTTATTTATCAAAAACAAACAATACGTTTTTGTGTAGGTACATTATTTCTATAAAAGATCTAGAAATCTAGACCCTTATCTGTCATCAGTATGCCTCAGCTGATTGAGTGATTGGTAACTCTAATATGTAGTGTGGGTTTGATGCCCACATTACGACATGTTTATATTATCTCTGATAGCCGTTCTTAGCGTGGGCGGTTGTGTATGAAACAAATTCTAGTTTATTTTCATAGAATCTTTATATTTACAACAAACAATGTATCAAAATATGATCAGTTTAACTGGATATACATTTTCATTTAATTCTCTAAATAAATGCATTCAAGTTTCATTCATTAATTCATATAAATAAATAAGTCCGTCAGTTAAATAAAGAAATTTTCAGATTAATCGGTTGACGGAAAGAGGGTGAAATTTGAATTACTAAATTTGACCTAAGAATAAATAATAAATAAAAAAAAACAGGGTGAGCTAAATAAAACCGTATAAAAATATAATAGATACGTATTTTTTAAAACAATACCTAAATAGTTAAAACAATACCTAATAATTCTATGTTTAGAAGAGAGATGTCGGTATAAAATGTCCTAAAACTGTTTCTGACGTCACTCGATATTTCAATAATTAGGTACCTAATATAACATTGTCGAAAGTAGTCATACCGTAATGTTTTTTAAATTAAATTAAAATCTTCGTCGTCCCATGTGGAAACTTCTTTTCTTATAAGTCCCGTTTGTTACCCTGTACTTAGAATCCGATAATGGTTACTTAGCAAAGTCTATTACATTTGGTTTCGGTAACACTACCCTTACGTAAGAATAACAGGGTAGTCGCCGACTTATAATATTGTACACATAAATTTTTTTTTCGATGCGCCAAGTATGATACTTTTCAATGAATCTCGTATGAAATAGCTAGTTGTGACGTCATAACTTTTTGAGCGTCAAAAAGCATCATTTCTTTTTAATTGCCTAGAAATATACGACAGCTAAATGAGTTTAATGTGTTAAACTGTGATAATGTGAAAATATGGAAACAACCATCTTGAAAATTCTAAAGATTTGACTCAAATGAAATAAACTCGGCACGCCTTTTGGTAGGTCATTAGTATAGGTTGAAAATGGTTCAAAGTCAAAGTCAAAATATTTTTTTTCAATTAGACCCTTAAAGGCGGTTTTGAACCTCAAACAAAGTTTAAAGTGTCAGTCTGTCGGTCATTTCTTTTAATTAAGCTATTTGCTCGTTCCAAAGTGAAGATTTGAGAAGAATGAGTAAGAAACTCCATGGTTATTCTTTTTAAATCGGTTTCAATTTGGTTAGGATAAATTACATACATATTCGGTTTTTGATTTTTGTAAATTCTCATTGTGATATTACCAAAATAGATAGTTTCTCGATTAGTAGTACAAGATGGTAAGTATAATAATTCGATATCGTTTCATTTCGAAATATCCAAATAGTAAATATCCATAAATTTTACATGAGGATGCTCAGTAATGACGTCAGAACTAGGTTACAGGTAACATAGACATAAAAAATAAACATAATTACTTTTTCTAATCAGTGAATGGAATGGAATATTTTAAGATGCATTAGAAAAATGAGGCCGTAACACAATTATTTTTACACATTTCGATTTTCTGTTGTTTCTATGAGGACAATTTATGTTAATGAATTGACACTGACCAGAATGAGTACTTATAATGAGGTTTTGAGTTTAATTCGAAGGTGAAGTTGGATGGTTTTGTCGATTTTTTTAATTTTCAATATTGACTACATAATTATAGTCCAGATATGCGGACATAGCCTTTGCGGCTAAATTAATATGTATATTATTAATATTCTAATAGGATATGCAGTGTACCTATACAATAAACATCTATATGGCTATGCATAAATGTATATATATAAGCAATAGCCAATGTTCTTTTACTATCCTTTTAATTCTCCTTTCCATCATCATCAGCCTATAAATGCCCACTGCTGAGCAAAGGCCTCTTCTCATACGGAGAAGGTTAGAGCATTAATCACCACGCTTGCTCAATGCGGGTTGGCGATTTCAAACTTATAATTAGAAATTATAAGTCCAGGTTTCCTCACGATGTTTACCTTCACCGTATGTCAGTGGTGTCTAAATAATCATAGAAAGTACATATAACTCGGAAAAAGTCACATTGGTACTTGCCAGGTTTCGAACCCGCACTCTCATGCATGAGAAGCGGGCGCCTTAAACTCCGGGCCACCACGACATATATTTAATAGTAACACCAGACAATCGGCAAAACGACACCGTTTCATGGTGGATATCTGTTTTCAAGGGCGCTAGTGAATAGGTTGCTTATGGGTAGGCTTGCTCTATTGTTGACTGGATTACCGCTTACCACAAAGCAAGATAGCCAAAGAGTGCGACCACTCTAAATAAAAATAAAATAAAAGATGTTGCCGTACACTAAGATTTTTCCTTGTTTCGTGGGAGTCTACAAACATACAAATTCACACACATCATTCACAGATCCGAAGCAAACAGTTCATCATTCAGTTGTTCCGAACTTTCCCTAATTAGCCAATAAGCATTGTGCACTTATGTGCATCTCTTTCTATCACTTCAACGATTATAGAGACGGGATATTATAAAAAACACAAACAGTGATGGGTTCGCAAGTTTGTCGTATACATGAGTATTTTAGTCGAGAACCAGAAATACATTTTGGCTTCCTTACAATTTCCATTATAACGTATACATATCTATATGTATACTTGATGTGTTTACACTGCAACATACTATTAAAAGCTGTTACGCCATAACTTCACATGGATTATGGAAATGTTTGAAAATTCATTCTATGTATACAAGTTCGAACCGTTCTGCAAAGAAGTAGCTAGAAGATGAGAAGAGCATAAATATGAATGTAGCCTTTTTCTTGTATCGTATGATCGATCTGAGAATATTATGATGAGACATTTTACCATACGGGTCCGTGCTATCACTGACAAAATTCGGATAGATGAAAAAGAAGATAGCTATGTTTAGTTAAAAAACCTTTTTTGAATTGATTGTGTCGTCGTAATTATTACATTCTAATATAAAATTATTATTTTTGCGATTAAGTACCTCATCAATTGTATTTTTAGTCTATTTATATGATCTGATTATAAGGTTTATGTATAAAAAAATAGTAAAACCTTGGCGTTGGCGCTAAGCTGCAAAGCTATGTTGATGGTTTTAACAAGCATAATTGAATAAACACACATGTTTATAACAGTTATACAAGTTATGTTTATGCATAAAATGTTTTATAAACAGTAAAAAAAATCGCGGACTCCGTTGCAGCATCACCCTTAATTTCATAAATAGATACTTAGTAAAACTTAATCTATACTATAGTTTGTAAGTATGTATGTAGGGGGTAATCTTTGGAACCCCTGGTCGGATTGCCAAAATTCTTTCACTGATAGATAGCTACAATGTTCCTGAGTGCTGTAAAACAGCACGCTACGATCAAATGGAGCTAAGCTAATAAAGAAATTAATTTGAAAATTTCCTTTGCTCAACAGTCGCAGACAAAGGTATCTGCGTACCAACAGTGGCGATATGCTGCTTACTGGTGTACGTAGAAGGTCTTTGGCGGGGGTCTCGCGCGGGGGCCGGGGAGCTCTGCCGGCCGTTAGCGGCGCACTGCGTCGGGTACCCCGTGGTGACGCTGGGATTTGGGGCGAAGGCCCTTATAGCCCACCGGCTGCGACAACGTCGACAGAGGCACGTCCGTGCAATGAATGAGTTCTACTTCCAGCTCATGCGGGACGCGCTTCCTGAATCCGCGTTAGACCAGGTGAGAATTTAATCTTTGATGTATTTTCTGATAAACCATATAATGTACTGTTTTTTTATTGTTTTTCCATTTGCCACAGATGTTTCCTTAGTTAGAATTTATTGCACTAACTTCCTAGGAGCATAACTGAATACCTAGGTTTCATTTTCACTAATCATGGTTTAATGTGAATACAATTATGTATAATGTGAATCTTATTCACCTGTCGTGATTGATGTCCTAGAAAACTCTTGCAACATTAATTATTTTGCAATTCCATATTGCAATTACTGTCATAGTAATTCTGACATTTCATTTCATATCATACATTCTTCGCCCATCCGTCCTCAAACAGATCAGTAGTTGGACTAGGATATTTAGATTCCAAAGGATCATTAAGCGAAGTTTGGGTTGTGTTAAGTCGCAGTCACAAACACAAGTGGCGGGCAAAGATGGCGTCGCTAATGGCGGCGCGGACTGCGCGCAGACGGTGGCGCAGGCGCAGCCGACGGACGCGCGGTACGCCAACGGCTCGCTGCGGCGCTGTCGGTACAAGACGGCTGACCATAACGGTCACTGTCCGCCCGAACATGTATCCAATAAGGTAACTATATAATCATTTATTAATCATAATAATTACACCTGGTCATATTATTATATCCCCTGCAAAGAAAGCTAGAGTTAGAAAGTAGGTTATCCCCATCTTTGTGAGTATGATTCTAATTTTGAATGTGTATAATCCCTAAATCTGCTAATGGCCAGCAATAGTCGACTCGTTTGCCGTCCTATCACATAAAAAACCTTTATGCTTTTTTTAATGCGCTTTAACAATAATTATAAAAAACAAGAATATCAGTAGTAACTAGGATAACCAAAAAATAATGTTTGAATTTATTTTATCCAACTTACAGGTAGACAAAATAGAGAAGCAAGTATCGCATACAAATTCAGTACGCGAGAAGGCGTCACACGCGTCTAACGGTAGCTCGCACAGTTCGGGGAGCTCCCACAGCACACATAGCTCGGGGGGCGGAGCCCTAAGCAACGGCTCGGCCTGCCACGCCGCGCCCGACGATGACGACAGACATGACCACAGTAAAGGTAAAATAAAAATACGAACTAAATTTAACACAACAGTATACGGTAGTGAGTGAGAGTCTGACACTGCTTCTCGCCCCACCCAGCGCGAGAGAAGTCATTTGATAATTATCATCTCACAAAAAAGGGCAGAAATTGTTCATTAAGTACTATTTTTTTGCTGTGCCCATATGATAAAGGTAACAAAGACGAATTTCATCCGATTTCTAAAAAATCTGATGGAAAAATCTGATGATTGATGAATGTTTTCTATTTCAGGTGGTTCAAAGTCTTCAAAGGCAGAAAAAGAAAAGAAAGAGGCTAGTACATTAAAAGAAGAAAAAAGAAAGAATAAAAACAGAGATAAGGATAAGGACAGTATCGATAGTCATAAGAGTACAGAACATAGTGAGTATACTTACACTGTTATTATTATATTATATTCCGCCATCCCCATTTCACCTTCACCTTCGGACATCCCGGCGTACGACAAATTTCCACCCTTACGTTGTTGAGACACCTGCGGCCGGACTAAGCGTTTTGCCTCATCATTTATACCGCGTACATCAAGGGATTGGAACAGTTTGCCGACTGCAGTCATTCCGTCCAAATATAATTTAGATGTCTTCAAGGCTAGAGTGAATAGGCTCTTAATAAACTAGCGCACCTTACCGTCAATGATTGCATCACTGCTTACCATCAGGTGGGATCGCAGACAAGCACTAGTTTATATCAAGTAAAAAAAAATATTAATTTGTATGTCTGTATATTCATATTATTAAAAACAAGTTATTTCACCATTCAAAAAAAATACTAAAATATGTAATTTAAATCTAGGTCAAAATTGGATCCAATTCCTAAGGTATTATAATCATATGTTTCTAAACGAATAATTTCTATTTCAGCAAAAGAACAAATAGTTAAAGATAAAGAAGTAGAGAGTACAAAAGATTGTGTAAAAATTAAGGAAAGCAGTAACAAAGAGGCTAAAGAGAAAGAGAAGGAAAGAGATAGGGAACGAGAGAGAGAGACGAGAGAGCGCGACAAGGAACGCGAGAGGGAGCGAGAACGCGAACAGGTAATATTGAATTTCATTACTGCTTGTTCACTACATGGTTTGGTAATTATGCCGTAGGCGGGTACTATACTATATATTCTTTATTGTACACCATTAGGACAACAACATAAAAAAATAAAAACAAACAAACATGAATACAAAAGGCGGTCTTATCGCTAAAAAGCAATCTCTTCCAGACAACCTTTGGTTGGAATCAAACTGTAGAAAAGGTTGGAACGGGGCAGTTAATGGCATCCATTGGCAAGTCAACCACCGAATACATGTTATACGATAATATATTATGATACGTATTTATAATACGTTTCCAGTCATTTTTTTCCGCAGATCTACCCGATCTTTCTCATTATAACTGAATAAGCAGACTAAAATAAGTTTACGTTTAGTTGTTACAAATATACATATGTAATTATATGATAGATCCACGATATAAAACAGGAGAATATGCCATGTTTGCTTTGTTAATAGTTTGTGTGGTTGTTGAGGCTGAAGTGAAACGTAACTTCTGTATTGGTAGCGCGAGGCCCGCGAGTGCATGGAGGAGCTGAAGCGGGTTCGCGCGGAGCTGGCGGCCGCGCGTACAGCGGAGGCGGACGCGCGACGCGCCCTGGCCGCCGCCGTGGCCGCCGAGCGACAGCGCCGCGCTGACCACGCCCAGCTCAAGCAGGCGCACGCCGCGCTGCAACACAAGTATGTGCCTATTGTTTTCGTGCTGTTTGCGCAATCATATGCAGTATTTTGCGCAAGTATTGTTACTAGTTTTGCGCAGTGCGCTAAAACGTTGTTTGTTGCGCAAAATGATACCGTGCAGCCAAAGAACATTTTGAATTTTCTTTAAAAGTTCAGTTGGTACGATGGCTGGGCAACTGGCTGCCGTGCAATGTATCGCGGTTTCGATTCCCGCACGGAACAACTCTTTGTGTAACCCACAAATTGTTGTTGTCTGGGTGTCATGTGCATTTGAAATTGTATGTTTGTAACCGCACCCACGACACAGGAGAAAATCCTAGTGTGGGGCAAAGTTTTATAAAAAAAATGCTATTTAGCCATAGAATTGTATATTTTTCCCTATGGATGTAAATATAAGTTTTATTATATGGGCATACTTTCCGCACAGAGTGAACGCGTGGCGCACGGGCGAGCGTGCGGCGCTGGAGCGTCGTCTGGCGGACGAGCGGCGCGCGCGGACCAACGCCGAGAACCAACTGCTGCGGGCCAGGCACCAGCCGCGGACGCCCAAGTATGGAGATAGTTGTGGCTATTGGACCTTTCTAAGCTATCAGTTGGCTAAATGAAAACATTTTATTAACTGTCTTGGCTAAAATAACCCATTTGTTACAGTGGGGAGTGTGAGAGCGAGTCCTGTAGATCTCGTCGTGCCGCTGCCGAAGCAGAAAGCGCGTTACTGCGGCGCGAACTACGCGCGGCGCGGGAACGGGCCGCAGCCCTCTCGCGGGGCGCCGTGGGCGGCGGCGTGGGAGGCGTGGGGGGCGTGGGCGGCGCGGCCGGGGCCTTCGACTCGGCCGCCGAGCGCCTGCACCACCTCGAGCACTCGCTCTCCGCAGAGACACGTGTCAAGCTCGACCTGCTCTCCGCGCTAGGGGAAGCTAAGCGCAAACTCAGCATACAGGACGGTATGATACATTCAGCTTTTTAGTAAACCATAACCCTAATGACCGAGTCGACGAGCATTCGTGAAAATATACATACCATCATTATGACATTTAGGATTTCGTTATATATCTCTGCCTGTGGTAAATGGATGTGACGATTTGTATGTATGTAGGCGGAATTTTCCATTACCTTGCTATGTCCTCGGTTGGTGTTATCACAATTCGGTTCGGAACAGAAAAATGAACCAGGGTGATTTTTCATCAATAACCGGCTTAGAAATTAAGGGTGCAGTTCCATTGAGGAGGTGAAATGCACATCTTTTCTCCGATGTGGCAAGTGTGTGTGTGTCCAAGCCATGTGATTGGTGAATCGCGGGACAGCTCTTCTCCGATCTGCTCTCTGATCCGCCTCAAAGGAACTGCACCCTTATTAGGTGATTTGCCCTGCTCAAAAAACCAAGTCATGACTATACAAGACGTTAGTAATATAGAAGATACATTTTAATGCGAATGTTATGAAATCTTTCTCAGGCTTAATATCAAGACAAGAGAAAGAAATAGAGGAACTAAAAGCTCAAATGCTGGCGGTGATGCCGACGGAGTTCGTGGCGCCGTCGAGCGCGGCGGTGTCCAAGCTCCGACTGTCGGACGGGTCACCGCTCGACCCCAACGCCTCCGTGTACACGCCCAAGCAACTAGCGCAGTGCTCCGACGCCTGAACCCGAGGAACGAACGCGGCCAAGCAAGTATTGTCTAACTTACTTCACCAAACGACAAATAGGTTACATCAAGATTGTAAATGTTGGAATAAATTCTGTGTGGTGACTGTGACACGAACAAATTATATTTAGTGATGAAACAAAACGCAACGTGGCATTCTAAGGTCTGTGACAGTTTGATATGGAGCCTCTATCCATCTTCGAAGACACGAGTATTGCCAGATACAAGAATTAATAACCGGTACACATAGCATTTAAATGGACATTTAGGATGTAAAATCACCGGTACAGTTTATACCTGGCAATTCCATACAAAATTCACCGAGTACCTGTAGGTTTGTATTGAAATAATTTAGACAATACTTTAGCCTAGACAGATGAAAATCTAGAAATATATAAGACCTTGCGCGTTCTTCCTAAACCGAGCTTCGACCCTTACCCAAGCTGTGCTGGTCTTTGTATGGGCGTTTTCTGATCTCAATTTGTTTTTTTTTGTTTTCTAATTGATAATGCAAGCTGACAAGATGTTTTCGTTTATTTATTGTGTTAGTTAAAATTTAAAAGTGATTTTTTTGTAAGTCGAAAGCTGGCGAAAGACTTGATTGACACTTTTGTTAAGATTGATTTTGAAAATTTTCTATTCTTGTCTAATACATTTCTTTTTGGCATTTAACTGATCAGTCTTAGCTTGAGTCAAGTCCGATCGTCCGCAAATGTCCATACAAATATCGGTAGTCTAAGAAATTAAACTGGATATACTTAAAATATTAAAAAAATAACAAGTGTGTTAGTTTTGTAACAGTGTACGTACATATTTCAAGACAGAGCGTTTATTTTTTCATAATATTAAAAATAATTGAATTTCACATGTTTGTGGTGACTTTACCCTTTGGTCTTTATCTATGTGAAATTGCCCCGGAGTGTGGAACTCTCGTGATCTGTCACTCGACACTGAGATGATGGCGTTCGCTTTACTGTGCGCACAATTACGGTCATATTTGGACACAGTTACAGGATATAACTGTCCAAACCAGCGAATTACAAATAAACCGACTAAATTGAGTTTCGTTGAAAAATGTATCTTATAGTCTCTTTAATTTAAAATACATTTTTCAACAAACAATACGAATCTGCATTTCTTCAAAATGTGACCGTGCAATGATCTCTCCAAGCATAATCTGTGTGATCACCAGACCCCGCGTGACTCGCTGCTGCAGTTAAACAAATGCGTGTTCTTTTTGAATTTTATGTGATAAATTGTACAAATTAAGATCTGAGATCGAGTCTTCTTCCTTGTATATTAAATTTGTAGTTTTATTCGACGTTTTTAGTCCAAATTTGTCTGTATTTACGTGCGGCGCCGCCTGGCGGTACGTTTGAGAACTATCGGCGTGGCGCCCACATTTTCCTGTTGAACTTGCGATTTGAGTATTGTTTGACGTGTGACAGCATTTTGACAGATGATGGAACCATGACAGTTGTGATTTTGAGATGTTCCGGTTTGATAAAACTGCTTCTGTGTTATTAAAAATTCTACGGATGCCTGTGGGTTTTTTCTCTCAAAAAATTGTACTTAATCATTTAGGAAAAATTCTAAATCTGCTTTAAAAATATTTGACTAAACCACGGCCAGTATTATAGAGGAAACCCATTTCGTTCTTTACAATAAGTTTAAACATACGTAATCGCCTAAAAAAGTACCCCAAACATATTATATTAGCACAATATTTTATTGATTTAAAATTCTTGTGGATTCATTTTGCAACTCAAATCTTGCCTTGGCATTTATGTTTATTACATTGAAAAACAGATAAAAAAGTAATTGACGCTGCAAAATTTGCAAAGTATCCGTATTGTTTTGTCTAAATACTTTAAAGTGATTAATTACTTTTGCCTGATTTGAACTTACTAGAAACCTCGCTTTATATTTGATTTCATGTAAAGTATCCATGGCATTTGTCGTGCTAACGACTTTTTGAATAGTAAGTTTGTTGTTGGGTATATTTTCAGCAATGACAAAAACTGATTGTTTTTGTTGCTATTTTATTTTCTTGGTCAGAATGGCGAACACCCAAGCCCACTGTCTACTGAGATTCAGAACAAAAGATTTGCAACTGATATCCACAGATTTTTATACAATCTCTTACAAATGTACTAAATAGTTTCTATGTAAGAAAAACCGTTATTTTCAAAAATATTTCACAGCGCGTCGTTTAAAAAAAGGAATATGTCCCGCCTCTAAAGGTGCTGGCACCAAATACTGTTATATTTTTGAATTTGGAAGGGACATTGATTTTTTTTAAAGGTCGCGTTTAGAATCTTCAGAAAAGGATTTCTATGTAAGCAATAGTTTTTAATAATTTTGTATAAACGTTAAGAATAATATCTCATTGTATAAGTACAGCTGTGTGTGTTTAAATAATTGTGTTTTTGGTTTATTATTATTATTAGGTACCCACTAACTATGAGGACAAATTCGACTGACTTACATTTTATTAACATAAGTCGTAAAAGAGATTTTTGTATAAATACAAAGATTGAATTTATATTTTTTCTGAAAAAAGTAATAGTATTATTATCGACGTTGTTTTGTATATTGCTAAATGGATAACAATATACAATGAGGTATTAATTCTCAATTAAACTATCCATCCGTACCATAATGCCAATAGACTTGTAAAATTACGTTCTTCCTACCGTAACCTGCTTCCAAAATTGACTCTGTTGCATTTATACAATAGTACAATTAATTTTATAATTATGAATAAAATAAAAGCATCAATTAATCTAATAAGCGACGGAATTGTATGACATAGAATATAAAAGATGGTTTCTTGTAGTGTAATTTTATTGGTTGTAATTGTAAAGTGCGTTTATTTGTCGCACGTTTTTCGATGTTTGGTACGTTCAAATTGAAGTGTTTTTGTGTGCCAATTGATTCTGTCTTTACATAGCTCGGCCTTGTATACTTGTTTGTTAGATTAAATAATGATCCCAGTACTTCACAGCGTGAATATTTTGTTGATCAACATTTGCACTTTTTGTTGTATTCGTGTCACGTTTGTTGATGTTGGTTTTCTGGGATCAATTGGAGATTTTACGTGTGTACTTTAAGCTCTTGCGGATTATTTTTTACTCTAATTAAGTTTGTGCTAGGCGATTTTTTGTATCGATTAATTATTTATGTTGAGTAGAATAAGTTTAAACATATCTTCGAGATTCATTTAAGACATAAGACCTTCAGACATCATGAAACTATTTTATCAAGAAGAAAATATATGTTTTAAAAGACATCTGCAATAAGTATACAAGGTTCTATGGAGCTTTCACACTAACAAGAGATATGCGAAGTAACGCACATTGGAAACAAGAAGTATAAAATGAACATTTCCGTATTATTTTTGAGATTGTACCGTTCACTCTAGTCTTATAAGAGGTCGATATTACACTGCCGCGGATATCATTGTCGCTAGTCAGACAGGAAAATAACGCATACATTTTTATATGTATCAGTCAGTGTTCTAAAGATGAGATCGTCATTGCATTTTTAAATGTTTCTATTTGTGACATCACATGAAGTTTTTGCTTATATTAAAATAGTTGAGTGAGATTAACGTTCCGAACAGTCGCGGACTAGTGTGTGTCGACCTTTACAGTTATTTGTAAACCTAAGTTTTAGGCGTTTAGTTTTTTTTTATTATAATTATTTATAACTGACTGCGCACTGCCCATGAAGTTTAACTTCCTTCTTTAATTTGGAACTACGTAAAATTATTGTGAAAGTACTTAATTTAGATGTTTAGAGTTGATGTGATTATTATTTTCGAATATGAAATCTGTATGCAGCAGATACCGATGTATATTTTTTCATGAAACCGGACGAGAACTACGAGAACGTTATCATGCGTAGAAACTAACGTACAATGGAACGATTGAATTTTCACTAGTGAAATGTAAGTGATAATGTTTGTTTGTATTATAAACAGATGCTGTAACAGCAATAAAAAATCAGACTTGCAACTTTGGTTTTCTTTATCCCCCTTTATCTATACTAATATTATAAAGAGGTAAAATTTGTAAGTTTGTATGCAGGGGGTAACATTGGTCCGCTGGTCGGATTGCCAAAATTCTTTCACTGAAAGATAGATAGCTACAATGTTCCTGAGTGCTATAGGCTATAAAACATCACGCTACGATCAAATGGAGCCGAGCAGCTGGTGAAACCGCGCGAGAGTAGCTAGTTATGTTTAAAAGAGTTTAAACTTGTGGCTATTAAAAGACTGCATTTTGCTTGTTTTGTAAAATTGATGTTTCAAAAGAGTTTCTTTGAAAGATGAAGCACATTTTTTTCCATTTGCCTTCAAAAATTTTACTTAACTTTAAAGAAAATAATAGCATATTTATTTAAAGTGACATACATAACATTATTATTTTCGGTTAATATTAAGAATTATACATTTGCCAAAACAGATTTCAATATAAAAAAATGATTGTGTAACAAACAAGAGGGTACTTAATTAAAATAAATATTTCGGCTGTGACTTTTGAAAAGAAACATTTATCAAATCAAAAAATTTAATGTTTTTACACACAAATCAAGTTTACTTATGTTTAGGTTTAACTTTGTCAGGTAAATGAAAAAAGGAACAAGAATGTTATTAAAAGTTTAATTTCTTAATAAAACCCTTTTATTCTAGGCAAATAAATTGAAGATTTGTGCTATAGATATCAGATCTGATGACTTAATGCACTCAAATAGTCTTCAAAACTCAATTACTTATTCTAATTTATTATTTATTAGTGGTGATTTCACCCAGGTACCAGGCTGACATAGACTATTAACTAGTCAAATATTTCTAACTGGACTGAAGATTTTTATTTCACAGGTCACTAGCGTAGAATATAAATATTGTAGGTATTTAAAATTAAGGAAAGAATTCAAATTTCAATGCTTTCCATTTAACCCAGATAGCCTGGCTTCACTAACTAGACTCTGAATCTCCAACTGAACTCTCAATGCCTTCTGCAAATCCATTTTTCTCAACTGTGATGCAATATATTTACCATAAATGTCAAATTCATCCTCCTTTGCTGTATCTATATTTGAGTCTATGGTCTCCACAAATGTCCTCTCAGAGCAATCAGTACTAGGCCTTCTGTGCTTAATTTTTTTCTTTTTATTCTGATACCTACTTTCACTGATTTGGGGTACTTCTCTGGGTTCTGTTTTTAAAATTAATGTGTATTCATCATCTTCAGGGAATGGCTCCAAAGTTTCTTCTTCCATGTTGTCCGTAGTTGACAGCCATATTTTCTGGTTGGCATCATCTAGTGAATCTTGTTGCTGGAAACAGTAAGAGAATATTATAAACCACTAAAGATATGATGGATAGAACAAAAGCTTAGCATTGTTTTATTCAGATCATATAGTACAAAACTGTTGATTACTCACGCTGTCGAATGTTGAAGAATCATCAGAAGCTTTCTTTAAGCCACCAAAATGTTTGTGCCATTCAGAAAACCACTTCATATTCGGTTTGTATGACCACTCCGGACCGGATCGATGCTTAATTTTAGCGATTTCTTGCATGTACGTCGATCTGAGATTCTTAATCTTAATTTTTAATTCAGTTTCATTAAGTAAAATGCCCGTTGTTTCGTTTAATTCAGCTATTATTTCTCTATAGGCCTTCAACCTTTTACTTTTGAGTCTATACGCGGCGTGCTCAGGATTCCACAAAAGTTCATGACTTAAATATATTTTAACGAATTGATATGTTTCGTTTTCACTCCACCGCATTTTAACAACATTTATTAATAGGACTAATCAGTGACACAACCACTTATTTTGGTGTTTCGATTGCAACATTTCAGCTATCAACAACAATAACAAATTATTGTCAATTGACAACTGTGTGTGACAAGCACAGATTACATAAACTTGTGACAGACTGACAATGTCAAAATAATGCTCCAAAACTGAATTTTGTTCTCTGTGCAACGCGATTATTGATATAGGTAATAAGTTAATAATATTGTTACAAAGCTTTTAGCTTCGTGTTAATGAAAATTGCATAGATATATGTTTGCTTTTCTTACCACAAGTAAATTAAAGTTTGTCGTTTCTTCGTATGCAATAGTGTTAAAACAATTTAAATGGGAGATAGTACAGAAATCAAAATAAACAAATCAAAATTTTATCATTTTTGTAATTCTATTCTTTGGTATATATTTGCACTTTGGAACATATACTACATGTAGTATTAAATTGCACAACATACAACATTAGGGAACACCTCAAGACACTAAAATATCCTAAGCTTTAATAATAATAAATCTACAGATGTACCAATCAAGATAGTATTAAAATTACTGGTACTATAGGATAGCTGTATCTTGTAATGATATTATAGCATACACATACTTATTTATAAGGAAGACCTGTTAATTATATAAACTCAATTATTTCAATCACTAGATACAATATCTGAAATCCTAGCTTCACTCACTAGATTTTGTATTTCTAGTTGTATCCTCAATGCCTTATGGAGGTCCATTTTTCTCAGTTGTGAAGCAATATATTTACCATAGATATCAAATTCATCCTCTTTTGTACATTGAGGAACAGAGTCGGTTGAATAATTTCTTGGTGTAGCCCGGTGCTTAAGCTTTTTCTTTTTAATTTTCTTATAGTATATAGGGGAGGACCTTCTCTCAATTTTTACTTTAGATGGTTGCTCATCTAACTTGGCAGAGTCATATTCATCGTCTGTTTGAGGGATGAGTGGATCAGGATTTACTTCATCCATATTGGTATTCTGTAGTTCTTGATCAACCCAGATTTGGCAAGCTGAATCAACGTCTGGAGCTTCCTGAGACTGAAATATTGCAATAAATTAAATTAGATTTATTAAAAACATGGATCACATTCCATGAAAAAGTAATTTAAAATGGGCAAATTTTGAGGTAAAAAAGTTTTAATAATAACAATTGCAAACTTAATTTAGGGTCAAACAAACAGGCAACAATTAAATAAAAAGAGTTCTAGTTTTAAATATAGGGACACCCAAACTAGGTTTATTTAACATTATTTAACAATTTTTTTTTTCGATATATTTAGCAATGATGTAGCAGATACTAGTTTATCATACTCACATTAGTGTACGAATTAGAATGTCTATTACTCGGTATATGTTTCAGACATCGATCCATTTCATGAAACCATACTAATGATGGTTCATATATCGAGTCTGGACTCGATTTTTGTAATATTTTATGCACTTGTTGCACGTAAGTGGTCCTTAGGTTCTTGATTTTCATTTTTATTTCGGGCACAGTCAAGGACTTCATGGTGGAACTTTTGAATTCTGCACTTATGTCTGAATAGGCCTGTTCTCTTTGATATCTTAATTTGTACCCCGGGTGCGAAGGATTCCAAAGACACTCGTGCTTCAAATATATTTTAACGAATTCTAACGTCACTGCTTCACTCCACCGCATTGTTACTCAATGAACTGCAGCAGAAAAGTGTCTTTTTTCACAATCCACCCATTTTTACATAAAGTAAACATCAACATTCAACATATGTTTGACAGAATGACAAGAACACCTACCATTTTAATTTGACATTTTGGTTAATAATATTGCCATCATGTTAATAAAAGCTACCAGGCTTAGTAGAAAATAACGTTGAGCAAAGAAATTGCATTTGAAAATAATGTATTTTATGAAGTAATTCAATATGAATTAAATGGTAATATTAGTAATTAAACGTAAATTTGATTCAATTTATAATAAAAGGAGATGTAATAAAAATAAAAAGCATTTGGTTTTTCGAAATTATTTATCAAGTTTTGGTTGGTTTCTTTACAATTCCACTTTTGACTTCCATATTAATGTAGGTTTCCGCTAATCTTGATAGGACACCATTTCGGATAAGAGTAGTATTACAGTAAAGGCGCCCTTGCTTGTACGGGAAAGTTTTCGGTATATTTTGTAGTGGTATAGATAGATTAGTAAAAGCGACATGACCCTGAAAAACAAAAAATAATGACGTGATGTTTACTAAGAACGGATATCAACATAGAAAGGAGACGCTTAAAAAATAAAATTTCAATCAATCAATTACACCTACTATTCTGATTGCTCAACACAAAATAATCCTTAGAGCTTGTAGACAGCTTTGGCGCCAGGAGGCGGCCACATAATCGTGGTGAAGTCAAGAAATTAAAATGTAATGACCCCACGACCGTCCCCCTGGATCGTTGTTAGGACCCATTTATTTATAGACAGGTAGATATAAAGTATTTCTTACTGGTTGAAAAGGACACGGCTGGTTTTTGATGGCTCTTTTCATTGAATCCCCGAATAATGTGCCAGTCTCTGCGAAATCACACAGTTTTGAGTGTATCTCTACGAATGTTCGGTGGTATCTACCGTTTTGTAACTCGTAAAAGTATATATCTACCTGTAACACAATGCACAAAATTACCTATATGTATCGTAGGCAAGCAAGCCCGTTACTGAAATTTACTGAAAGTGTGGGAAAGCCATGCTTCGGCACGAATGACTCGACCGTAGCGACACGACGACTTCACAGAAACTCAACGTCAAACGAGGTCCTTACCTTCCTCTTCCCCATTCCTGCCTAATCCCTAAATCTCCAAAATCGTTATCCCAAAAATGCTGGCAACGTGCTCTTAACTCCTCTAGAGTTATTGTCCATGGTCGGCGCCGATTGCTTTCCATCAGATAATTTACTTACACGTTTGCCGACCCATCCCTTAAAAACCCCATGTTCGGCAGGCAGGCATCTTAGGAAGCACTTAGGACACGAAGTTATCAGTTTAAAGGACTCAGCATCCCTCCAAATGGCAGCCAATATTACGCTTTAATAAATAAATATTTATCTTATAGTGAAGTGCAGGTTTGCGGGTGGTTTTAAGTTAGTAAGAGTCTCTACACACAATCTTGCCGCACCCAGGGCTAATTTTCCCCTTTCAGACAAAAATAAGAAATATTTTTCTATACACACCGAAACATTGTTCCCTAATGGCACCAGAATATCAGTGTAAAAGTTGATATAGTAAACAGGGTCGTCCCGACTGCGTCGACGGCTAATCACAGTCACGTTGCTGATGAATTTCTTGTTATAATACACGACCATAGGGCGCTCAGTCACTATGTAGGCGATCTGTAACGATAGTAGAAATTAAGAGAAATAGGGAGCTTATCGAAAAAAAATATGGTATAGCAAAAAGTTTTAGTTTTTTCATTCTCCTCGCAAAGCCCTTAACGTAGTTTTTTTAAGTTTTGGAGAGCCACACTTCGACTCGGAGTGATACCACGGCCTCACTGTTTACGACATAAAAAACTGAAAACAAGCGTTTTGTTTCGCCGTGTGAGTGCGTTACCAGACTTCCAAACCTTTCCCTTTCCATTCTTGGCCAATCCCTAAATCTCCAAAATCGTTATCCCAAAAAGGCGCGCAACGCGCTCTTAACCCCTCTAGTTCTTCTGGTGTTGTGGTCTATGGTCGGCGCCGATTGCTTACCATGAGGTAAACACATAAAAAAATGGTGTTATCTACAGAAAACCTTGTGTCTTTTGGGCTTGTAAAATGTTATAGCTTATTGAAGAAGTCTAATTGCCCCAGTTGAACTATAAAACTCAAATAAAGTAGCAATACATACCTTCTCTGATATGTACGTTTCCAATTTACATAAAAAATATAACAAAGAAGTAAAAAAATATAATTTAAAATTCATATCGATCGTCCACTTCCGTTAGTAGCTAAAATAAAAATGTTGTTCGAATGAAGGTACCTACATACCTACTTACGCACATAAATGGTGCAATTAGGTAATTCGCAATAACAAAATTGGTTGCGAATTTTGTATTAGGTACTGGCTAGACTTTTACTTAGCCATTTTACCATCACAGATGGGGCCCATTGGGATATGTAGATTGTTGCCGATGTGTAGATAGCCAGGTTGCAGTTGCGGTCCAGGCCTTTTTGTTGGGAGGAGTAAACCATCATATGACTTCTTTCGCCCAGGATGAGGCAAGAGGGAGTGTCAAACTCTGACTGACTAAAAACCACTCTGTTCCTGCTCCTGCATAAGGCAAAAGCCGCGATATTTTATTGCATTAGCCACGCAACCCCGATTGACCATTGGCCCTGTGTGGTCTTAGCTCTTTGAGGCTTGCGCGGAACTCTATGCACCGTACGCTCGGGTCTGGTGGCCGGAGATCATCGCTCGATACTCGATCCTTTCCGATTATTACTGCTTCTGATACACCGGTCTGGAGAAGGACTTTATGGTTTTAGTTAGGAAAAGTCTGACACTCTCTCTTACCCACACTCATTACCAACTTCAAAACTTCAAAATAATTACACCTATTCTAAACTTCAAAAAAAAACCTAATTAAATCAAAAAGATAGCATAATATATCTAAATGTCAGTCAAGAAATGAATTTTTACTTATGTACCTACTGTTTCATTCTTTAAACCCACTTTAATTCGGGGTGTGACAACGGAGGATTACGAGTGCGTTGTCTACCTTTTAGGGATTTGGAGATTCAGGGATTGGCGGAGGGAAAGGATTGGGCCTCCGCTAACCCTCACCCTCACCCTCACACGGCGCTGTGGTTGTTTCACGCCGGTTTTCTGTGAGGCCGTGGTACCACTTCGGCCGTGGTATGTATCTGATTTCTTTTGTAAAATAAGTAAAAAAAGTTTATAAATAAGAATTTTCCATGGTTTTCATAACACGACTGGAAAAATATGACGACGTTTTTGTTAATATCAGAAATATTTACAGTCTGTACAGTTATTTGGTAAGCAGGTACGAAAATAAAGATTGATTTAGGGCAGCAGAGAAAGTACCTAACCATTAATTTGCCACTGAGCCGATCGCTCGGCTTTGCGACGTCGCCGTAACACGCACGCCTCTCATCAATAAGAGTCCTGTTGTGTTCTGAAACTAGAGATTTTCTCGGTTAATTCACGTAAGTCGTTATTTTAATAAAAAAGATATGGCTTTGTTAAATACTATATGATTTTGTGTAGGTTACCATACTTACAGCCTCTGCACTAGGTCAATCTTCATTTTATCATACCTGCCAAGTGCCAACCACTCTTTGCACGGTTGCAGGGCTACCGACTGCATTGCAACGTGTCGCGGGATCGATTCCTGTTGTATACAACTCTGTGTGATCCACAAATTGTTATTCCGGATCTGGATGGGATATGTATGTATGTGAAATTGTTGTTTGTAAACGTATGACGTGAGTCTTCATAGGACAAATAAAGGAGTACGCTTCGTAAAAAAATAACTGACGATTGCAACAGCAAAATATCACCATTTTATTTACGTCCGTAAATAAAAAAATCCAGTATGTAGAAAGGAGTCCTTATGTATCTAATTATGTTATGAGCTATAAAACAATGAGTTTACAAAAATAATAAAAATAAAAGATCTAGTCTGGTTCAGCCTTCCAGATTCCTCATCGTTACTGATGAGGACTCCAAACAGAAGGTCATTTTTTGAGTCTGGTTATGTGGACATTTGCAAAGCTTGAAATCGTGTAGTGCAACGAACGTTTGATGCGTTTTATTTTAATATCGTCCATTAGTTAAATACCTGCCTACTATATAAGACTTCATTTCATACCTCCAGTAGACATTCACATAAAAAAATCGCTATAACAACCATACGTTTCCGTGAGTTCAAACAGAAATCCCGCAATTTGTCAAGTGTTTCTGTAGAAGCTTTTTTTGAGGATGATAAATTTTTTGAGCCTTCTCTCGTGGCGAGAGGGAGTGTCAGACTCTTACTAACTAAAAACTATCCCGTTCCTTCTACTGCAGGCCGGGGCCTTTATTATTATTAGCTCTATGAGGCGCGCGCTGTTGGTCTGGTTGTATGCCAAGCTACGCTTACGGTGGTCGGAGATTATCGCTCGATCCCTCGATCCCCGACGCCCGGAGTGTCGCCTACTGCGACGGCTGGGGCGTGAGGAGGATAGCTCCCTTACGTGCTCCACCCCCTTCTTTCCGAGCATCTGCTTCACAGAAATAGGAAAAGCCTTCCCAGTTCCTCTCACTCTGCATCATGGCTTCCATTAAAGCCGGACGCGAGAGATCGCCACGTATTTAGCAAGGCTTTTTTTTTGTGAGGGGAAAATCAATTAATGACTTCTCCCGCCCAGGGTCAGGCGGGAGGGAGTGTCAGTCTCTTACTGACTAAAAACCCCCCTGTTTCTACTCCTGTTCTAGGCCGAGGTCGCGGTGCCTCATTGCGCTTACCCCGCAACTCGGGCTATTTAGCAAGGCTGGCATCTCAACTTATACCCAGCAATATTTCACGGACCCGACCCAAAACTGTAATGCTACAGATTAACCACTAACTATTCACGGACAATAGATTAACATAAAGTGACAAATTCAGTGAAATTGAGATAAGACCCGCTAAATGGAGGCTTATAACTATGAATATAATATATTGTCTTGTCTACAATTTGTTTATCCGCGGTGTTCACTGGGGTGCATATTAATAGCGGCGTATCTGATAACAAATATACGTAGAATTCAAGTATTTCTTGTTCTGATTGAGTATATTTAGCGATAAGAGAAATATATTTAGTAGACTGCTTTGATGTTGAATATTTTTTTTTTCATAATTTGCTCCTAGGATTTGTTCCTGTGTCGTGGATTCGTTTATATAATACAATTTCACATTCACACTACGCTCAGACACGGAACAACAATTTGTAAATCACACTATTTTTAATTCTGTGCGGGAATCGAACCTGTAACAGGTTGCACGGTGGCTGGTTGCCTAGCCACCTGTAGTATGTATAAGTACTTTTATGAGATATCAATTAGGGATTTAGGTTATAATTATGTGATTTTAAGTATAAACATTGCTAATAATATTTTGTGATTTATTTCGTTGCGGGATCCAAGACAGTCATTCATGTCCCTGAGACGCGCCGGATTCAGTGTTCCGGTGTTTTCATAGTTGTATCTACTGTAGATCCTGGCTTACAGGAGTTGCAGCGGTTTTGGGAATAAACGGCGGGCTTGTCCAAATAAAAAAAATAAACAATGCTTCTTTTATTAATATCCAATAATAATAATATTAATCATCTTTAATTAGTAACTAGACCCTAGTGTAAACATTGTAATCTGATAGATTATTAGCCTATTGTTATAATTAAATAGGGGATATATTCCCGATTCTGGTGCTTAAATAAAACAACTTTTTTAATAAGACGAATACGAAACGAAGAATCTCAAAAAAATACCTCTCTAAGAATTTATTATAGTAATTCTGTGGTACATTTTTAACGTGCCTCCATACTGCAAGTTTTCCGATTCATTTTTAAGTTAGATCGCTCAGTTACTGCACCACGCGTACAACTTATAAGTTTAGTAGCGACGGGGCAAGCAACACTGACATATAGAACGTGTAGGTACCTACATATTTCCAGACCAACTAAAAATATCTGAAAATATACATAAATATAGAAGAATATACATAAAATTTACTGTGGAAAGTGTAAACTATTACGTTTCTTTTCCTAAAATAATATCTTCTGATTTATTTTATTTATTTATTAAAACTTCATGCACAACGGGTACAAAGGCGAACTGAATGCCCTATAGGCATTATCTACCACTCCAGTCCAGTACTAGATGATTTATTTCGATCCAAGAATGTCATTCATGTCCCTGGGACGCACCGAACTTCTTATAATAAATAAATATAATTTATCACAAAAATATTTCCCATGAATCAGTCTGGAATATCTGGAGTATCTGATAAAAGAGGAGGCGTATTTAAAAAGAAACAAAACATCTTGAACATTCTAGGGGTCGTAACAGTCGTGATAATGATATTTATTTTATTTGTCCTTTCTCTGTTAAAACTTTACTGGAAATTGCTCAAATTAAGTACCTATCCTAGTAAGTATTAGAATTGTTTAATCAGTAGAGGCTTCTCTGAGAAGTCCTGACGTTATTGAAGAAATGGTAGAAAGATAATGAAATCGGTGAACGTATCTATTTTTTACTGGGATGCACGCATGGTATATGACCAAATGCCGCGGGTAATAAAAGGTATTATATAATAAAATACTATTTGTTTTCATGAATTATCCCGCCTTTCTCTGATTGTCTTCTCCAAATATATATTTCAGTGTAAATACATTTTCCAGCATTCAAAGGCAGTAATAAACAGTCAGGTCGACGCAGTAAATTAATAAAGTACTGTGTAATAAACCTTATTTATTTCAACATAAAGTCACTTTTTATAAGTTTTTATTTAACGATCCTTGATTGTGGTTCTTTTTCGAGAACAAAGAAAGATAAGTTGAAAGTTTTATGCTGTCTGAGGGACGAACATTTTTAATATTTATTGAGGTATAGTGTGAATAGGCTTTTAGACTATATGTATATGTATATGACTATTTTACACTGGCCCTGATCATTAGTCTGAAAGGATAAATACCTATGTATTTTTTTATGTGATTTTTTTTTTTTTTTTTTTTTTTTTTTTTTGTGAGGGGAAAATCATCAAATGACTTCTCCCGCCCAGGGCCGGGCAGGAGGGAGTGTCAGACTCTTACTGACTAAAAACCCCCCTGTTCCTTCTCCTGCTCTGTGCCGAGGTCGCGGTACCTCATTGCGCTTACCCCGCAACCCCGGCTGAACATCAGCCCTTTAGGGCCCCGTCTGTGGTGGTCGAATGGCTCTTTGAGGCGCGCGCGGAACGCTACGCGCCGTACGCTCGGGCCTGGTTCTGGTCGGGCGGCGAGCTGCCCTTACTCGCCGACCGCAGGCCCGTATTTATGTGATAGGTTGGCAAACGAGCAAACGGATTACCTAATGGTAAGCAATCAGCGTCGCCCATGGACACCGCAACGACGGAGGAGTTACGAGTGCGTTGACGTCCTTTTGGTGATTAGGGATTTGGAGATTTTGGGAAAGGGAACGGATTGGGGTAGGGGAAGGATTGGGCCTCCGGTAACCTCACTCACACGGCGAAACACAACTCTTTGGTTATTTCACGCCGGTTTTCTATGAGGCCGTGGTATCTCTCCGGTCGCGCCAACCCATTCGTGCCGAAGCTTGGCTCTCCCGCACTGAACTAGACATACCACGTAAATAAGGTCTTGGGCAGTAGCTAGTGTAAAAAAGAATGTAAGAAAACATTCCTGTTCAAGCTATTGGCTTAGTGTAGTGCACTCTTGCAGGTTATAAGTGGTGAAGGTGAACAGTTAATGCGAAATTTAACCCTTGGGCTCATGACCTACAATCAAATAATTCAATTTCAACAATTCTAAAATGCGTTTATTAGATAAAGATCGATAAATACTATGATAAACGTCTGTACCCCGCTATGTTCAATTTCCGGTGACCATTCCGAATTATGTTATTTTAATTTTTAATCACACCATTTCCGTAGAACATTCTCGTCGATAATAATTAAGTAAATTTGAGTTTTGATATTTGTATGCAAGCGAATGTAATCTGTTTATATATAGAAAAATATCTACACATTACATAGGTACTATATAAAACAAAGTCGCTTTCTCTGTCCAACTCAAATCAATTATAACTATGCAACGTATTTTGATAGCTAGAGTGATTAAAGAGGAAGGTTTATATTTATAATAAAATTAATTATGTAGTGGACTTATTTAGCACCAGCATTGCATTCATGCGAAGCCTGGGCGGGTCGCTAGTCTATTATATGTATAGCTAAACCGAGCATGTTATTAAAACCCGTATGCATCTTTTTATTTCCAAGTTTTACCTATTTCGTGTTAATGAAAATTGTGATTAGGTTAGCACTTTTAATATAAATGAAAACATTAATATTTCTTTGCTATTTGTTAGACTTTACCGTCCCTAAATAATTCTTAAATTCAATCATTCAACCTCGCAGAGAGGCAGCAATTTGTTGCAATTACAACTAAATTATAATGTTTATAAACCATAAAATGTTGAGTGTATAAAATTGTAAAATATTTGCATTCAGCGATTGGTTGAACGCAGTGAGAGCGTATCGTTCATGGCAGTATGTCTGAACAAATCCGATTTGCACTTATTCTAATCCTGTCAATGTATTATTTAACGTGTGTTTGGTCTGAAAAGGTTAGTAATCATTTCATGTCATTAATTTTAATGGGCATTTTGATAGTGTATGAAAATTTAAGATCTAATTAATTAATTTGTTCTTCAGAGAGATTATGAAAAAAATTAGACATGTTTTTTTTATTTTGACGTATGTAAAAACAATATCTACTTAGATAAAACTAATTTAAATTTAGAAGTGGTAGTTCGCTTGGTCGCCGCTCAGCTCATGCATTAAGTTGTGACGTCACACGATATTCCAAATCCAAAAAAACGTTGAAAGTATTTTATTTAAGTATATAACAAAAAATAACGTGTCTATAGTTTTGAATGATTCTGACCGATAATAATAAAAAAAAATTACTACGTTCATATTTTATTCTATGTTTTTTTTTTTGTTATGGGACGGCAAACGATGATGGTAGGCAATCAGTTGCCGCCGCAAGAGTTGCGAGTGTGTTGCCGAACTTTTGGGGATAAGGGTTGGGGATTTAGGGATTGGGGAGAGATTAGGGGAAGGGTAAGGATTGGGCCCCCGGTAACCTAACTTACGTGGCGAAACACAAGTCTGTAGTGGCTTCACGCCGGTATGGTATTGGTATTACTCCGGTCGAGCCGACCCATTCATGCCGAAGGATGACTGTCCCACACTTAAAATTAATTGTATTATATATTCTGCACAAATCAAACATTTTAATTTGTTACCTACAGATAACGTATATAAGTGTTGAGCATCCGAAAGTGGATTACATAAATCCTAAGTACCTTGTTTATGCCAACTTAACGTCTGAGAGGTTCAGTCGTTCGAACCCGGTCTACTATGTAGGCCTCCATTTCCACCACCTTACACCATGGGGTAGCAACATCTATGTAAGTAAATTTTTTTACATGTGCTCTCTATTTAAGAATCCTCAAATGCGTAACCAAGGGAATACACAAGCAAGGGCAGGAGAGCAGTTTTCTCGCCTCCTTCTTGAAGTAAAAATAAAGGTGTAATTAAAAGTGGGAATTGAAAGCGTGTTAAAGCTAGCTTTCGCAAAATAAAAAGTTCGAAATAAAACATCTTTTCAGTCAGATATTTTGATTTATATTTTTTTATCAATTTCAATATACTTATGTACGAGTATATCCGACCAATCATCTTCTCGAAACACGTATGACCTGCTCCTTAACCCGTGATACCGCAGAACGCAGATCCATGCCAAACATATTGTGTTTTCTATTGTTTGTCATATACCGGCAGACGAGAGATTAAGGACAATTAATATCTTGATGAGTCTGCTTATTTTGTTGAAACCACTTCTGGGATTATTCTAAAATTGACAAAAAAATATTGCACAATTATTGCTATATTTTAAGTTGATTTATTTGTGTTCATTATAAAACCATAATTATAGAATTATAGTAAGAGCGAAAGTCTGTACCTTGTATTGCTCCCGTAATAGCAGAGGTACTCGTATCACGTCTGCGAATAATACTCGTAAAAGTTCAAAGCGGACCAGGTAAATTGATGGCGGTGCACGAAAGCCCACCTCACGTTCCACCAGGTACAGTTTGCTCTCATGTATTTTTTTGGGTTCTATTTGCAGATAGATGTATACTTCTACGAGTTGCTATCGAACCAGTACAAGCGCAGCTTTGTGGAGATGCACTTTGATTGGTGCTACCTCGTTGAGAAAGACCTGTTCTTTGGAGCTGCTGTAAGGGCAGGAGGATATAAAGGAGGGTGTCCTCATCCACCGGTAAATATCCTTTTATTCAACTCAATTCATCCATATTACTTCTTGTTATGGTCGTTTGCTTATACGTCTAACTAACACTAATTGGATAATGCGGCGCACTTACGTAACTAATCAATTAATTTACTCGACTAATTTCAAGTCACGCAAGGGGCCCATAGTTAAATACGAGCTGTATGCGCATTATAATCTCATAACATACTTAGGTGAATTTATAAGTATTACAAGCCAACCGGGTTCGAAACCTGGCTCGTACCAATGTGACTATTTCGATTAACACATAAATTTTTAAGGTTGTATAGACAACATTGATATAAGTTTGAAATTACTAATCCGTCTTAAGCAACCGTGGTGATTAATTCTCATGCGTTTTCCGTATATGAATAAGCCTTAGTGCATGATAAGCTGACGATGTGATTATTTTGTTTTAGGGTAAGGTAAACCTGTACAACATGACGATCAATCCTGCATATATACCCAGGGGCTTCCCTTTCACCAGAGGCAGGATCTACGCTAATTTCTCCACCACTAAGACCAAAGAGAGAGTGGCAGAAGGCCACATTGACATGAGAATAGCGACCGTCGAAGCGAAGAGTATAAAATCATTATTTTAATTTAATTAAGTTAATATTATTTCGGTTAGATAGAACAATTAATGTCAATGTATAATAAATATAATAATGTATTATAATAATGTTACACACATATTATTATTATTTTTTTGGGCATTTTTTAATTATAAAGTATTTTCAAGTGAGGGAGAGCCATGCTTCAACACGAATGGGCCGGCTAGACCAGAGTGATACCACGGCGTTACAGAAAGCCGGCGTGAAGCAACACTTACGTTGTCTCCCCCCCTTAAACCTCCTAAGAGGTCGGCAACGCACTTGTGGTAACTCCTTTGGTATTACCATGTATGACCATAGGCGGCGCTGATTGCATTCCACCAGGTAACCGCCTGCTCAATTGCCGACCTATGACATGAAAAAATAAAAACACGTGTCATTCGGAATTCGCGCTCAGTCGCGCGAATTACGCTCACTGATACGCATTCTTAGTCTTCGTTTATGAAGACACGGCGGGTCTTCGTTCATACGTTGCTTGTTATGTTCACATGTTTGGGTTCGCGCGGGCGATGACGCGGTGTAATGGCGCAATGGACGACAAACGCGAATCGCGCCGAACAACGCGCGCATCGTGTGCATGTAAACGAAGTCTCAGAAGATATGTGTCCGTGTGCCTGTGGAGTTAGGGTTGAATTTGCTATGTTCAGTTTTGGATTCATTTATTTATTTATTTATTTTACACTTCTTGCACAACGTACAATGGCGGACTTAACGCCTTAGGCGTTCTCTGCCATACTACCTTTGGGTGGTGGAGAAATAGGAGTGGTAGGTGCATCTTCTTGATAAAAATAAGGATGAAAAAAAAACACATGCTACAAAATTATTGCTCATACATATACATATATCAATAAATATAAATATATGTATACCTATACATTATATAAATACAATAAATATGTTTTCACAGACTATACGTATACATAATAATATACAATACATAGGTACATATTATCATATTCCACGGAAAAAAAGTGTGGATAATAAACTATTGTGGAGAATCCGCCAATTTCTTCCGGATGTGATCTCGTAGTTTCAATTTGAAAGCGTTCTTACTATCTACCATCCTGACCTCGAAAGGTAGCTCATTCCAGAGAAGAATGGGTTTAACGAAAAAGGAAGAGTGCATAGTATCTGAACGGTGGACAGGGCAGTGCAGAAGGCGATTATTAGAAGAACGGAGATTTTTGTTGTGTTGCGAGCAAACATACTGAAAGTGTGAAGTTAGATAGGAAGGTGAAGAGGGTGTATGGAGAATAGAAAAAAGAGTAGTTAATGCCCTCATCTCACGTCGCTGTCTTATCGGTAGCCATTTTAGTTTCGTTCGATACGCTGACACATGATCGTACTTGCGGAGATTAAAGACGAATCGAATGCAATTATTGAGAAGCCGGTCAATTTTATTGAGCAGATCTGCATTCAGGTCTAAGTAGCAAACATCACCATAGTCGATTATAGGGAAGATAAGAGTTTGCACAAGCGTCGCCTTTACACTGAACGGTAGCAAGTTTTTGAAGCGATAGAGGAACCGTAACATATTTGTGACTTTGTGACTGACAGCTGCAACTTGTGCTTGCCAATTGAGTGAGGAGTCAAGGTGTAGGCCAAGATTCTTTACAGTGCAGCTGTACGGTATATTTGTACCATCAAAGACAACAGTTGGCAAGTCAAGAGCGTCAATTTTACCCACAATTCTTGAGCTACCAATAATTATGGCTTGACATTTGCCAGGATTAACTGTCACTCCAAACCTGTGAGACCAGTTCCTTACCAACTCCAAATCCTCGTTCATTTTTCTGAGAGTAACTTCCAGTTCGCTTACCTTAGTGTGACGATACAACTGCAAGTCATCGGCATAGAGATGATACGAACACTGAAGTTCAGAAGTAAGGAAATTTATAAATATAGAGAATAATAGAGGTGAAAGTATGCCGCCTTGAGGAACGCCAGCATCCAAAGTACACCATGCCGATGAACCTTCATCCACCTGAACTGACTGCTGGCGATCCCGAAGATAGGATGAAAACCAGTCTAATGACTTAGAAGAGACCATAATATGGGACAGGATAGACAAAAGGATATCGTGACAGACGGTATTGAACGCATTAGAGAAATCTATTAGCACCAACACAGTGACACTAGCGTCTTCCATAGCAGTTCTAATATCGCCAGTCACTTTAAGGATGGCAGAGGAAGTGCTATGTCCTGGCCTAAATCCGGATTGCAGCGGACTCATGAGGTTGTTGCTATAAATAAAACGCGCAAACTGCTTATGAGCACAAGCCTCCAGCACTTTGGATAGAAATGGCAGGATAGAAATCGGACGAAAATGACTGGGAAGAGAAGGGCTGGAAATTTTGATTCAGGCTTCTATGCGCTTCGATCCTGCACTTTTTTTTTATATGTAATATGTCGGCAAACGAGCAGACGGATTACCTGATGGTAAGCAATCAGCGCCGCCCATGGACACTGCAACGGAGGAGTTACGAGTGCGTTGCCGACCTTTAAGAGATTAGGGATTTGGAGATTTAGGGATTGGGGAAGGGGAAGGATTGGGCCTCCGGTAACCTCACTCACACGGCGAAATACAACGCATTGGTTATTTCACGCCGGTTTTCTGTGAGGCCGTGGTATCACTCCGGTTGTGCCGATCCATTCGTGCCGAAGCATGGCTCTCCCACACTTAAAATGCACTAATATAAATCGACCCTTAATTAAAGTTCGATGAACGAATTTGTTATTTTATTCAATTTGTATACAATATAGTAGTTCAACGTTAATTATTAAGTATAATAAAATATCTTTCGTTTATTTAATAAATATAATGAGGTAGCATTGATTGCACGCGCGCAGCACGCGGGCAGCTCGCAAACGGCTCGCGAGCTGCGCAATCGCGGCACATTCGCCAGATGTGGACGCACCCTAATATGCACGTGAGAATATATCGGGAACGGTAATTTTCTTAAACACATTTCGTTACTCTTAGTTTGTTTCGGCATTTCTTCGCAGAGTAGTCAGATGGAAAATGGCGGCTTCATTTAGTTTTTTTATATGTTGTTTTGACGAGTTAAAAGGTGTTTTATGACCTATTTGTACCTAAAACAAGTTAATTGTTTTATTATTTCAAATTCTGAGATAATGTTAACAACACACGGACCAAAATTTCCCCCTTTTTTCTGACAGCGGAAAATAAAAAATAAATTCTTTATGTTGGGTGATGCCGCGTCGCCGCGTCAAACGTAAAAAGGTTTGTTGATTGAAACCTCGATAAGTTTTTTTTTTCGTTTTTTTTAGCAATTTTCACACTATCGACACCACGGCCGAGCGACACCAAACGAAGGGAAAAACCAAATCTATTTTGGCCCCGGTGTTTCGAAAAAAAAAGAGATATGCGGAGTAATTCATGCCTGACTGTACATGCAGACTGTTAGATAGCTACATACATACTTTTTTTATGTGATAAGTCGGCAAACGACCAGAATTATTACCTGATAATGGCATGGAAGCAATTGGCACCGCCCATGGACACTGGAGGTGAAGAGTGCGTTGTCGGGCTTTTTGGCAATATGGTTGCGGAGTTTAAAAAAATTGGAAAGTCATGGGAGAATGAAAAGGATTGGGCCTCTGGTAATCTCACACACACGGCAAAACACAACGCTGTGGTTGTTTCACGCCGGTTTTCTGTGACTTATCGCTCCGGTTGACCCATTCGTGCCGAAGCTTGGCTCTTCCATACTTTTCTGAATCAGGTACACATGACTTCTCTCACCCAGCGTGAAGCAAAAGGGAGTGTCAGACTCTTACTGGCTAAAAATCCCCCTGTACCTTCTCCTGCCCGGTTCCGGAGCCTCTTTATATTATTGCATTAACATCTGCAGCTCCGGTATAGGAAACATGGATTTATAATTTCTAATTATAAGTTTGAAATCGCCAATCCGCCTTGAACAAGCGTGGTGATTAACACTGAAACCTTCTACGTGTGAGAAGAAGCCTTTGCTCAGCAGTGGACACTTATATGCTGATGATGAACATCTAAAAACACCGTAGCTAGCATATACATACACGGTCAGCACAATATTTTGAAAATTTTAATAAATACCAAAAATCTACAATTGGCGGAATATTCCCTTAAGAACATATCTGTGGTCAGCAATCGAAATTGGCATGCGAAAGATGCAGTTACACTAATAACAGGATCTAAAATAGCCCTAAGGTGAGTTTGAACATTTTGCGTGCGTTCAAAAGCGCCCCTGGGAAATTCACCGGGTTCATATTAAACAAATAGAAACGCAACAATATTTTCGATTTTGTTGCACAAATAATTGTGTGTATATTGGCTTGTAGGTATGTTTTTTTTCAATTTATTTACTCGGATTTTTCTCTTTGTAAAACGTACTAATTTATGAGCTGTTTTTTAAACGTTGCTCCACTTTAGGATTTCGTTTACCAACGTACAATTACACATACACAACACCAAGACCCGGAACAACAATTTGTGGATGACACAAAGAGTTGCTCTGTGCGGAAATCGAAATCGCGACACGTTGCACGGCAGCTAATTGTCCAGCCACTTCGCCAACCGGGCAGAAATTTTAGTATAGATTGTGATTTAGGTAAATCGATTAAAAAAGTAAGGACACAAAACAAGATAATGTTATTTTGTTGACATGTATATTATTGTACATTTAAAATTCATCTCTGCTAATTCATTTTTTGTAGGTTCATTTTTGTCTGTCATCTTCGCTGAAGAATGGGCGAGCACAGATAAAAAAAAACTCGCGTAACAATATTATTTATTTTCCTCAAGTCCAAAATTGATATGTGCAAAAATAACTTTTTGAAAGCTTTGCTCTTGTCTGTCATTTGATATCATTAGTAAAAATGGCATAAAACGATTGTTTTGAGTCGAGGGAGAGACAAAATGAAATTGGATTACTCACGGATATTGAGTTTTTGTGCGTATTTTGTAAATATTGTGATTCTATTGTTTT